AACATCTGAAGAGTGGTACTTCGGTCAAACTCTTAATCTCCACCCTAGAAAGGGCATCTAATGTACATGTACTTAAAGCATTTTTAAAAGAGAACTGAAAACTTCTTCTCTAAGGAGTGGGGGTGGAAGAAAATTCCATCTGTCTTGACTCTTAAAAGCACTTTTTCCCTTAGCAGAATTGATTTCTCTGTTTTTGAAACATCTCTAGGTTGTTTTGAAAATAGAAAAAATAGAGAAATAGAGATAAACAGAGAAAAATAGGCAAAATAGAGGAAGTAGATAAACAGGCCACAATCACAATTTTTTTTTTATAAAATCCCTCATGTTCTATTAAAATTCATTTGTCATTTTATTCTGTCTTGGGCATGCTGGATAGGCACACACCTTGGTTTTCCAAGTAGACAGCCAAAAGAAATTTGCCAAGGACTGTTGGCAAGTTCTTCTGGAAGAAGATCTTTTTAAAGGGCCCTATGCTAAAGAGAGTTAAGAATTTGTCAAAATTTTTGCTAAGACGTTGCTAAATTCGTAAGAATCTCTTCAAAGATGGAGTTTACAGACATGTGATGGGACACAAAAAGTCGGCTCCTTTCCTGGATCTGCTCTATTTTGTGTCTCAGACTTAATAATAAACCAGCATAGGAAACAACACAAGGGAAAAAAGCTGTGGTCTGTTTCTACCAGAAGTTGTGACAAGTAGCTATCACCCTTCATTCTCCAGATCTTACAAGTGAGAGAAGATGCACAAAGACCAATCAAGCAATCTGTGTCACAACAAAGCAATGGAGAATTTCTCCTTTCTGATCTTTGGATGCTCTGATTCAGCAGCACATCTATGTGCAAGAGACTCCACTGTCAGAGCTAATTTTTTTTAATATTCTCAAATTTGCTGAAAACTGTATCATGCTGAAAGTTACTATTTCCAAAGGAAACGCATCTAGAAGAAATGTCAAAATTGCCAGTGGGGTGATGGATGCCCTGAAAATACAGGACATCCAACAGCACAACATGCAGTTGAAAGTGCAAAAAACTAGTCATTAGAAAGAAAAATCTTAAAACCTATTTCTATGTTCCCACTGACATCAGTATAAAACCACTAAAAAAACCTGACACATGCTATCAGATCTAACTGGCACCTTTTTACTGGTCTTGCATAAATACATTTTTATTGGTATAGAAAAAAACCTTTGGCATAACATAGTCAAATGGAAAGAGGGATCATGCTCTTGATAGTCTCTGATAGCTTATTTCTGAAGCACCTGAAGATGTTTTCCAAAGTTCACAGAAATTCTTCCAGAGAATTATTCCCCAATATTTTGCAGCACTCAGATCAGAGAGACGCAAGATTTAACCTGCCCAATTACACTTCCACAGCAAGTGTACAATTTCAGATATATTATTTCTATTCCATCCCTATCATATTGGACAAAGATACATGGGCTACATGCACCTAATGCACTTTCACCTCACAAGGAGGTTTTTAACACCATCTCCCATAACATCCTCACAGGGAAACTGATGCAGTCCAGGCTAGGAAACTGGACAGTGAGGTGAACTGAAAACTGGCTCAGCTGCCGGGCTCACGGGGTTGTGATCAGCAGTAAAAAGTCCACCTGGAGGCCAGGAACTAGCAATCAACCCTAGGGTTTGACACTGGGGCTGATGCTTTGTAATATCTTCATTAATGTTGGGGACAATGGGGAACAGTGGCCCCTCAGCAAGCCCACACACAAGACAAAACTGGGAGGAGTGACTGACAGAGCAGATGGGTCCGCTGCCATTCAGAGGCACCTCAGCAGGCTAGAGAAATGAGATGACAAGAAACTCACGAAGTTCAGCAAAGAGAAATGTCAAATCCAGCACTTGGGGAAGAATAAATCCATGCTATGGGTCAGGCTGGGGACTAACCATACGGAAAGCAGCTTGATAGAGATGGACATGAGGGTCTTGGTAGACACCATGTTGTCCATCAGCCAGCCATTTGCCCTTTGTGCAAAGACCAACAGCACCTGGGACTGCATTAGAGACAGCATCACTACATGGTCGAGAGAGATGCTCCACTGCCTCTACTAAGCAGTGGTGAGATCACATCTGGGGTCCTGGGTCCAGTTCTAGGCTCCCCAGCACAAAAAAGACATGGATGTATTGAAGAAAGTCCACTGAAATGCCACAAAGATGATGTTGGGAACAAAGCATCTGTTCATCTATCTGAAAGAGCTGGGTCTGTCTACTCTCAAGAGAAGAAAGCTCAGCAGGGATCGTAACAATGTGTATAAATACCTGAGGAGAAGTAAAGAAGACATAGCCAGATTCTGACCTTTTCAGTCACTCAGTGGTGACTGGCAAAAGGATGAAAAGCAATGCACACAAACTGAAATAAGTAGAAATAAAAGAAGTTCTGTTTAAACACCAGAAAAAGCTTTCTTACTGGGTAGGGTGGTCAAACACTGGGACTAACTGCCCAGAGAGGCTGCAGAGTCTTCATCCTTGCACGTATTTAAACTCAGACTGGACATGGTCCAGATCAACCTGATCTGGTTGACCTGCTGTCGGACTTGGGGGGTTTGGACTGAATTATCTATGGATCTTCCAGCCTCAACTCCTCTGTGATTTGGTGGTTCTGTGAAATTCTCAGACAACCGTACCAAGAATTCATCATCACTGAAAATGGGTGCTTTATGAAAACATTCAAACCATTCTTTATTAGTCCCTTTTCCATAACTAGGATTCTCTTGCCAGCCTACTCATCATTAAATTTCTGGCAGCTGCTTTTGGTTGGTACCTCAGTACTGAGAGGGCCTTGCCTTCAGCCTCTTGTCAGCCCCACTAAGGGCTGCTCTCAGAAGGCCATAATCAGAGCTGACTGCCTGAACAGTAACATTCAAGACATGCAAAAGCCATTCAACCAAGAAATGTTCCGTCATCTGAGCAGAAAATCTGGGTAGGAAGGAATGAATCATCATGATCAGCAATTCCCTATCCTGATATGTACTCTCAGAGCAAAATCAAGCCAATCCTCAGTCAGTACTAACAGGATCAGAAACAGAGTAGGAAGTACCCTAAGCTTGACCAGTTTTAACATCCTCAGCCATGCCTCAAAAGTAAAGCCAACGCAGGTCTCACCTTGAAATTTCACAACAGAACAGAAAGGCTCTCCTCCTAAACCAGAAACAATCTGGTTCCCAACTTAACAAATGCCCTCTTAAAGACAGTCTGCTACACTTTCCAGCATTATTAGAAGTGGAAAGAACCTCTCTGTTGTTAAGGAACGCTTTTGTGGAATTGCAATCTTAACTGCAATGCAGAAAACTAAGTTATTGAAATTAGCAAGGCTCCTCAGGAAAGAAGATACCATTTGATATCGTAAGAATGGCAGTTAGTTCCGATTCTCGTTAAGAGACATTACCTTGTCACAGAATTTCCCTTCAGTCTTAAACTGTATGTGGACCTACTGTGATGCTACCAAAGGTTTTGTAAGCCTCAAGAATCAGGGACAAAAATCCATCTGCATTTTATTGGGATTAATCAACTCAGATGACATTTTTAAATTTGTCAGCGCCAGAACAGTACGTAGGAGGCCCACTAACAGACCAAAATCACCCCTGGTATAGGTATCCGATATTTTTAACACTTCCAGAAACCTATATTGAGGGTAAGTTATCAAGGTATCCATCTTTCCCTGATTCTGAAAAAAACCTCATTAATAATACAGTTAGAAACTAAACTCTTCTCAGAACTCAGTAAACTTTCACTCTCAGATTTAGCTGGCATATGTTCTGGTTTTGGCTGGGATAGAGTTAATTTTCTTCTTAGTAGCTGGTACAGTGTTGTGTTTTGGATGTAGTATGAAAATAATTTTGATGACACACTGATGATTTTAGTTGTTGCTAAGTAGTTGTAGTGCTTATACTCAGTCAAGGACTTTTCAGCTTCCCATGTTCTGCCAGCGGGGAGGTGCACAAGAAGTGGGAGGGAGCATAGCCAGGACAGCTGGCCCATGCTGGCCAAAAGGATATCCCATACCACATGATGTCATGATCAGTACATAAACTGGAGTTGGCCAGGGCACAGGAATCGCTGCTCAGGGATGGGCTGTTGCTCACTAGGTGGTGAGCAGTTGTTGCATTGTGCATCACTTGTTCTTGTATATTCTGTTGTTGTTGTTGTTATTATTTCCTCTTCCTTTGCTGTCCTATTAAACTGTTTTTATCTCAGCCCATGAGTTTTTTTCCAATTCTCTCCCCCATCCCACCCGGCAGGGGGGAAGGCAAGCAAGTGGCTGCGTGATGCTTAGTTGCCAGCTGGGGGTAAACCGCAAGCGCATTTTACAGAATCACAGAATTATTAAGGTTGGAAAAGACTTTTAAGATCATCAAGTCCAACCATCAACCTAACACCACCATGTCCACTAAACCATGTTCCAAACTGCCATGTATACATGTTTTTTGAACACTTCCAGGGATGGTGACTCTACCACCTCCCTGGGCAGCCTGTTCCAATGCTTGACCACTCTCTCGGTGAAGAAATTTTTCCTAATATCCAATCTAAACCTCCCCTGGCACAACTGGAGACCATCTCCTCTTGTTCTATCACTAGTTACTTGGGAGAAGAGACTGACACCCACCTCCCCACAACCTCCTTTCATGTAGCTGTAGAGAGCGATAAGGTCTCCCCTCAGCCTCCTCTTCTCCAGACTGAACAACCCCAGTTC